AATTTCTATTAATAGATGGGTTACAAAATTCTGGTATAAATTAATAAAGTATATATTGGGAAATGATAATATGGTTACATGAAAACCATGTAAGAGAAAAAGAAAATAGAATAAGAACAAAAGATAGAAAAAGAGTTTAACAGAAGAGTAAAAAATGAATTTAGTTGTAGTTTGGTCAATATTAAGTCAAAATTCTTCTTTTAGAGCTTGTTTTGACAAGACAAGTGTACACTACAACTTTAATTAAGGGTTTAAGACAAGTTATTGCAATAGAAACTGCGAAAGAGTTAATTTTCTAAAATTGAAGACCAAAGGCCGTCAGTACAGTTTTCTCTTTACTTTTGAGAGCTAGATTTATAATATTTTCAGAGTATATGTAAATCACTGAGCTGAACAAGTTTACTTAAGACATCAGGACCGATTGTCTTAGTAAAATAAAAAGTTATAAAAATTTTAGACAGATGGTTTTTTTGTTAATTTTTATACAATGGATTTGCAGAAAGAGTTTTTTTTATATTTAAAAATATTTTAAATCAGTTTAGAATAGGATTTTAATAAGATTTGAAAGTTCTAAAATATATGTTTTTTTAGAAAAATAAAAAATATATAAGTAATTGTTTAAAAAAGATAATTTTATTGTTTTTAAAACTTAAAGTTGTTAAGTTATTTGATAATATAATAAAGTTATAAATAATGTTCAGTAGATTTGTTTATTTATAAGTTATTAATTAAGATGAGTATTATTAATAAAAATATTATTTTTGTATAAGTAATAGAGCTAAGATATTATAATAAAATTTGCAAATTTCATATGATTTTTTAAAATTATATTTTGAATTAGAAATAGTTTTTATATTTTAAAAAACTATTTCTTAATATGGTATATAGAAATTTAATTCAAAAGTGCATAATATTAAAATATCTTTCTATATTATTACTGCTAACTTGTAATATAAGTTTATTGACTATTGAGATATTAAGTAGTTATAAGTTAGTAAGAATATTATTGTTTGTATTTGTGAATAAATGAAGCATATGTTTAGTGTATTTTGTTAAAAGACTTAATAGTTGATAAAGTTTGTTTTGTAAAGAAAAACATATTTGAAATAGATATAGATAATAAAGAATTTTATTAATTAAAATTTTGTTTTTAATAAATATTAAGATTAAATAAATAATTAAAAAATAGTTTGTTTAATAAAATTTTGAATAATTTGATCAAATAAAAATGAATTAGTACAAGTATATTAGTAAAAATAAGAGTTTAATAAATTATAATAAAAGTAACTAGTACTTAAATATTGGTTTAGATAATTAGTATAATATAATAAGTATGTTGGTAACTTATTAAAAAAGATTTTTATTTTAAAAAATTTTAGTTAATTAAATTTAAAATTAGTAATATTGTATAAAAGGTTTTAATTATAATTAAAGTAAAACTAAATGAATCTTTAATTAATATTTTGATTAAAGTATAACTACTTATTGTTTTGATTTTGTAATATTTATATAATGAAAATATAAGTTTTATAAATTTATATAATAAAATATCTTATAGAAAGTTTTATATAATATTATTTCTATTAAAGAATATAATAAAGATAATAAAGATTTATATAGTTAAATAAAAAAACTAGTAACAATAAGTTTTGTTTAATAAAAAAATCTACTTGCTTATTAAGATAATTATTTGAATAAGTCTGTATTTTATAAAAAATAATTTGTAATTTGTATAATTTAATAATGTTTAAAAAAGTTTACTAAATAATTTATTAAGATAAGTTATATTAAGTTGAAAATTATTAAATTTAGAAATTATTGATTAGAAATTAGTAAAGATATTAATTATTAAATTGTAAAAACTATTAAAATTATAATAATAATTAAAAAAAGAATTCAGTTTTGTATAATAAAGTTTAAAATTGTATTTTAACAAAACAATAATCAATAGTTTGATTATTATTATTGACTTAAATTCAACTAATACCTATTGCATATTAGTTAGTATCAATATTAATAACAAATCTATCAGTATAAAAAGATAATTATTGATAAAAGTAATTATAATATAAAATAGATATAAGTTTATTAGTAACTTTATTTAGAATAAAAATAATAAAAACAATTAAATCAATAATTAAAATAATAGATAAAAAAAGAATATAAGTTAAATATTTAATAACTGTAAAGCAAATAAAATTTAAACAATTAACATTAAAGTTAAGTTAGTAGTTTAAGATAATTCTATTAAAGAATTATATTAAAATAACTGCAAATACTTTAACAATACAAGTTTGATTAATTTTATAATAATTGAAGTAACATCTTATATATTATTTATAATTAATAAAAGATAAAAAATAAAATTTTAAGTAGTTTAGATTTATATTGAAAGATAAATAAGTAATGAAATAATAATTAAACAATAAAATATATTTTTGCATTTTTTTAATAATAATTTTATCATTGTAATATAAAGGTAAATAAGTAATGAAATAATAATTAAGCAATAAAATATATTTTTGCATTTTTTTAATAATAATTTTATTATTGTAATATATATATAAGTAATCAGAATTTAGATTTAATGAGTTTTTTGAATATGTTAATAGTATAATAAACATAAGAATTATTATTAAACAATTAATAATGTAGTAAAATACTTTGATAATAGAAATATGTTAAGATTGTATCTTCTAAATAAGAGAATTAGAAAGATTTTTTACCTTTGAATAAATATAGCAATCTGGATAAAAGATGCTTTTAGTCAAGTAAGATGCTGTTATTGATTATACAAAGTTGTTCAAGATACATAATGTTTGATTGCCTAAGTTGCTTTTTAAAAGTTAAATAATTTGAATATTATGATAAAATTAATTTAGTAACTAAATATATTTTAAATATTAAATAACTTTTATCTTTAGTTTAATTATAAAAAAAAGATAAGAAAAAACCAAAAATTTTATAATTCAATTTCAGCATAATTTATCACATTTATTTTTTTGAAATAAATTAAAAAAAAAAGTTGTTTTTGTAAATTTTATATATAAAATTGTAGTATATTATTTTATTAAATCTATAAATAATTACATTAAAAAAGACATGTTCTATAACTAATATATAAAAAAAATCATATAAAGAATAATTTATTTATTTCATACCAATATAAAACAACTAAAATTTATATAGAATTCTTTTTTTTTATTTACAAGAAAATTTAAAGGCTTGCTTTTATATTTTCTATATATATATATTATTACTATGTAGGCATGTAATTGTTTTTTTTTATTTTCCATTCATAGAAATTAAAAAACGCCGTTGTACAGAAGCATGGCCACGAGCTAAACTAAAACCGGATAAGTAATATTAGCCCACCATCTATTTTTGACATTTTCAACTGGTTTCCTTTTTAGGCTGTTACAATAGGGAACTCTGTTTTCTCGGAGGGCACGAAGATTGTTTACGGGGCACTATGTGGGACACGATGTTCATTACGCGAAATTTCGCGCAACGTTTCGCGAAGTCTTATGCTTCGTAATATATGTCTTTATTTAAAAATTTTTCATATTAAGAAAATAATTTCAAAGTAGATGCTTTTTATTTAAATGTAAACTTTTCTTTTTTTAACATAGTGCAAAGTTATAAGTAAAAAATTGGGTAGAAAAGATGAAGTTATGTTTTTCCGTCAAAACCACAAATATTAGATCATCTAATGCCACTTCTGTTTTGTGTAGATACCATCGAAAAAGGAGTCCGCGTTTGCGTAAATGAAGCTGGTTGTAAAGAAGCATATACATCTTAAGAATACATATTTTATAATAAATTTCACGGATGATCGTGAAATCGAATGATGAAATCTGGATATATTTTTTATACGATTTTTAAAAATTTTTGAACCTTTTTTGTTGGCTTTTTTTATATAGTTTTTAAGTTAGGAATTAGGTTAATTATTAATAAAAATGTATATGTGGATTTTTGGTAGGGCTTATATTTCAAATTGAGACCTCCAAATTTCACCATCATTTGATTTCATGATCATCCACGACAATAAATAACATTTTAAATCTACTTTTAAGACTATATTTATATCGGTCAACAAGAAAAGAAAGAAGGTGAAATCACGCACCCTTTTGTTGAAAATTAGGATTCATATCGTTACCATCGGTCGTCCGTTTTCCATTACTTGAAATACCGGAAGAGAATGGAGTTTGTTCACGCATTGCCAAATAGTCTTGTGGTATGGGTAATTGCTGGGTCATATGAATGTTGTTTTCTTAAGATTAACATGTATATGTAGTTAACATTATAATTAAGAAATAAGATACAAATATTAAACACAAATATTAAACACATCTATTAACACAACTATTAAACACAAATATTAAATACAACTATTGAACACAAAATTGAAACAAATATTGAAACAAATATTGAAACAAATATTAAATACAAATATTAAATACAAATATTAAATACAAATATTAAGTAAGACAGATTATTATTTGTAATCACCTTGACCATTGCTACCATTCCAAGTATGTTGGCGTTGTATACCCGAAGTCTAAAGTAAGATATTTATTATTTTTTGAAATGCTTATAACGAGTATTTACGGAACATTATTAAAACTTACGTAGGCACTACTTTGTCTTGAACCTACGCCAATAGGACAAATACCAGTGGTATTATTAACAGTTTGTTGTATAGCCGGAACCAATGATCGTCGTTTCAATTTATCGTACATAAGCTAGAACAAATAAATAAATAAATATATATATATATATAAATACATATATTTATTTAAAAATTTATATCAACACATTAAATTATAAAATTAATTAAATTAATTTACGAACCTGCAATTTTGAAAATTGGCGACCTTTTTCCTGTAATTGTTCTGCCAAGTCATGAGTTTTCCGTTTTTCGAGTTCCATATCTTTCTGTAATGCTGAACAAAGACATTATACGACAATTTAAAAAAGTTTTTATTTAAGGATGTATATTTAAGATGAGTAACGTTGACAAATAAATAAATAAATAATAGATAGATAGATAGATAGATAGATAGATAGATAATAAGTAAAAGTTACCTTGAACTTTTGCTCTCAAAGCTAATAAATAAATGAATAAGAAAAAATCAACAATTATTCAACTGTCAACTAAAATAGTAAACCGCGAAATAACGCACACCAGCGCGTCATTTTGAATAATAAATGGCAGAGTTTCAGAATTCAAATATTATAAATCTGCTGATACATTATATGAAGTACACGTTATTTCGAAACGCTCACGGGCGTTATGCCATTTTAAGGAATTAAAATTCAAAATAACTTTCATGGACATTATTTCGCGATTTTATGGTAATCATGAAACTTACTCGTAACTTCAGACTGAGCATCCCTCATTAAACTTTGCACTTGCTTCTCCAATTGTGTATACTTGTCTTCTAGACTCTTGTACATCATTTCTTGAAAACAAGCCTCTTGAGTTGTTTGATAAGTCCAAAATGATAATGCACGCGAACAAATTTCCATTATAATATCCGGTCTTAAACCTGAAAGGACAGACTAATAAAACAAATAAATTGATGTGATATAAAAAGTAAATTTCAGGGCAATATTTAAATAACTCACAGACTTGTAATCTTCACTTGGATTCAAATCGGCAAATACGATGTCATCACTGGCCAAAAAAAATCATATAAATTTATAATTATGATTGTAGATTTGAGAAACTTACATATGAATATTTTTATACGAATTTTAAAAGATTAATTTATTTCTATTTTTTATTATTATTTATTTTTTATCTTATTTTTGAATAGAAAAAAAAACGCGAACTTTTCCGTTAGGCTTGTTTCACAAGCTGGGCAGACCAGCGCTGATGAAAACGCATTATTGGCACAATCGACTAGAAAGAAATTCACGAAAATATTGATTATATAAGAATCATTATTGAATAATAAATATTCCTTAAGATTTTGGAAAATAAATACCACAAAAAATATCTAGAGAATATAGGAGATAGAGAGAGAGAGAAAAGTAAATGGTAGACCACATTCATTGAAAACGAAAACGACCTTTTCTTACGCGAACAAGTTGTTACACAGGCGCGGCCTTCAGTATTTAGGACCTTTCGACATTGTACGACGTTGCATCTCAAATCTGATTCCATTTTATAAAATAAGAAAATTCAAAGACGGGAAATATCACCAGAACAAAAAGGACAAAAAGTAAAGTCACGGTGATCTTTAATCTGGCTAGCTTAAAATTGTACCATACATATGATCAGTTTCGTTATCAGTAAATTACTAACGAATAAGGATGTTATCTATGTTGATGGTTGATCAATCATTAAAACATATTAAATTTAGATATATTAAAATATTATCAATATGCAATTTAACATGTATTAATATTAATATATGATGTGAATTTTAGGGATAATATAAAATCACACATTTTTTTTATTTTTTTATTTTTGGAAATGCTACCAAAAAAAAGGCTTACACCTGAATTGTGGCAAAATGTAACTATAAATATGAATAACCAATTAAAGCCCCAAACTCTATTTGAAATATATCAATATAGAAGCCACATTTCTCTGCAGGTTGTTGTCTTAATTAAATTTGGTCATTACAATAAGTAAATCTGTTTTATAATAGTATGCGATGACTTCATATGTGTATCAGCGCCTAACAATCGTCTAACATTCTGATGGCTTATTACAAATTGCTTAACTATATATTCTTGTGAATTAGGATTGTTTGTAATAGATAACTTCATCATACGTATGTACCTTAATAAAAAAAAAACGAATGTTTTTTCGTCGTATGCACATATATCCACGTTGATATATATGATGCATGTTTTAAGGGTTTCTTGTTGGTACTTTACGTACATAAATATTGATATGTACTTGTTCAATTAATACTAAATAATATTATGACATAGCATTCTAAATTTCCATATTGAGATAAAAATCGTACAAAACGAAAACTCTTACAGTTAATCTGCGAATATGTGCATGAATTACATCTGCGAATATGTGCATGAATTACATAATGTACATAATGACAGAGTAATAACAAACACTCTTTAAATACTTAATCACGTGAATTACGTAATAGTTATTATACCAATTAATATCGAGTCGATATGTACATATTTGTTATAATTCCTTGACATAACGATAACCTTGGCTGTATGTTGATAAAGTAGAGAATTCCGACCCACGAAGTTACTATTTACCCTTTTGCAGGGGTTCACATAAATATGTTGAATGAACTTTAAAAGTTTATTGTATGCATAACTTTGTAAAGGTTCTACTTTATTCCTTGTTCTGGAAAATAAAGGACTTTTTAATCCTTATTTTTTTTTCATCTTCATTTTATTTAATCCAATTTAGTATTAGATTAACACGGTAAATAATGCATCCGAGATTTGACATTAATATGTTTTTTTAAAAAAAATTGAATTATTACAAGTAATATTAAGGTTTTTTTATTGGTTCTTATAGTAGATTCATTGAAGTTTCTCGGAAAAGTTACAAAAGTTACACCGTCCATTTTGATATATAGTATACATAATTAACTCGCATATATTATTACTTATATATATTATTAAAAGTTTATTTTAATTAATTTATTTCATGATAAATAAATACACAAAAGTTAGTGTATATCAGTATGCTTACGGCCGATGATACTTTATTTTTTTTTTAATAAATATCTTATTTCACCACTTCTCATTCCTTTACGATTTGTCAAAAGTTATCATGATATCTCGCGAAATTCTATTAAGCGAGGCCACGTTGGACATCATTGTTCCAAATGGCATTCTTGAATGTACTGAAGAACGGGCGCTATCAATATTATCTGCCACGTCTCGTTCTCAGGTCTTTTATGGTATGCATATATTTCTGTTTTTTTATTAATCTTTATTTTACTTTATTTTTTAATCTTTATTTTTTAATTTTTATTTGATTTTTTTTTAAAAAATCTTTTTCTTATTTTAATCTTTTTTTGCTTTAATATTAACAAAGATGAACTGTTACGCTTTTATCTTGTTATTGGTCTATCTTCTGATTCTGCCGTTTATGATCTCGCTACTGTGAACGAGTTTTTCAATCAACTAGACATAAATGTAGAAGCTTCCCTAAATGATTCGTACAATACTTCTGGCCCATCTCTTTCTCCTATCCCTAGATCGTATCATAATTCAATTAAAAGGTCACGTTCCAGTTCTACTACTACTCCTCCTTCAATTCCTGGATCCCCCTCTTCTTCTGACAAAGTAAATAAAATGTCAGAAGGTTCCATTATTTATTCATGTCCTTACGACCCAAATAAAGATGATCAAAAAATGGTCGTTGTTAAGTTTAAAGGTTGTTGGACTTGTGTCGTCCCATTGAAAATGTCTGTGAGTAAGTATCAATTTATCAAAATTTTAATTTATTTATTATTTTCCAAAACCTTGTATATTAAAATATTTATTTTATCAATACTTAGATTTTATGAAAACACGTTCTACTAATCCAACATTATCTTTGAATATTTCTGTATCTTTGCAGCCATCTTCTTTGATGGCTACTGGAGATGTGTCAGATACGCAACTTTTTGGCCAAATGAATTTGTTAGCTGGCCTTGCTGATGGTATTTAATCATTATTACTATTCATTTTTTAATTATGCTTAAGAAACTAATTAATATTATATTATATATCATAGATCCAATCTTTGAGGATATTCCTTTTCAAATATATCCACCTTGTTTACAAACTTTACAAACGTCAGATTCTGTAAATAAACGAAACTTATATGGACCAATAAAACTTTTAAAAAGAAACTGTTTTAAATCATTATCTTTAAAAACTGCTTTAAATGTTCGTATGCGAACAATAAGTGTTTCTCCATTGGACAACTCTTTGATGATTTCTATTGAGGTTGAAAACAATAACACAGAAACAACTGCTTCATTTACTGTGGATTCGATCAAGATAGATGTCCCTCATAGTTTTGTGACAAGATACGAATATACACAAGATAATAATGCGGTATGTTTCTAATTATTTATTCTTATACAAAAATAATATCGTTATATTTGACCGTTAATTGATTTTTGTTTTTTATAGAATGATTTTCCTTTGACATTGAATTCGCTAGATCAAGTGTCTTTTCTTTATAATATTGTAATACTTGAGAAACCATCCCTACCTAATTCCTCTACACAACAACATTTTTCTCCTTCATCTTTAATGAGTTCTCGCGGTTCTTCACGTAGAAGTTCTGTCTCTTCCATTTTTTCAACAAAGTTACCTTCCCCATCTCCAGCTGATGATCGACAGCGTCCACTTTCAATCAGAATAAAAGGTTCACCTATTTTAGAAACCAAGAAAATACATGCTGTTGAATCTAAATGGAATTGTATGCTAGATCTAGCTAGTTTACTCAAACGTGATAATTCAATACCTCTTCATAAATTAATTCAACAAACTCAACAAAATTCAAGTTTCACTGTATCTCAAACTTCTGTTTCTTCGAGAAATTCCGGTTTTTTCTCAACTGGTATATCAACACCAACCTCTACAAAAACTTTTAATTCAGATTTACATATTAAGAAGCACCTGAGCGTTCCAACAGCTCTTGAGTCAATATGTAATGGCATAAATGGAACCCTAATTGGAGGTCGTGTTCCAAAATTACAAAAAACTGTCATTGATAGTGGTGATTGTGCTGCTGTATCATTTTCTGGTAGGCTTTTTTTTTCAACCTTTTTTGTTTTTTTGTTCAAACGTTTATAATTTTTAAAAACTCTTTTTTTTTTTTTTTATAGTTAATTCTGAGGTTGTGGTTGGTCAGATATTTACAGTACAAATTTCTATATTCAATAAATCGAGTGAAATAAAAAAATTTACCATCAAGGTTCCAAACAAAAATCAACTTCAAAATAGCACATCTCCATTATCGATAGTATCAAAACTTTCTGACAATAGTTATAATGACATTTCGATGCTTTCTATACGTGGCAACCTATCGGATAAAATTGAACCTTTTATAAATGAATCAGACTTTCTCAAAAAATATTTGGAATTTGAGACTTCTGATGCTAATCTTGTTTGTTTAGAGAATAGCGTTTGTACAGGGTAACTATATTATATTTTTACATTTTTTTAACGTTAAGTTTTTAATGTTAATAATTTTTTTAATCTTTTATTAATCTTAATAATCTTATTTAGGCCAATACATCCATTGACATGTGAAATTGTTTCAATACGTTTCATCGCTGTGAAAGAATCTTTACATGTAATCGATCTAGTTCAATTTGTAAATACCGATACGGGCTTTGTAACAAATCTTCGGAACGTTTTAGAAATATTAGTTCGTGATAGAAACAATATTATGATGTTTCCAACATCCAACACTGAAACGGACAATAACTCAATATTCAATGACATTCTTCCAATTCGAAAACAACTAGTCGTTTCGTAATAATTTTTGGCACACAAACGTAACAAAAAAAATTTCAATTCGTTTTTCCGTTTATTTAAAACATAAATTACTTTTTTTAGAATCACCTTTTAGATTTTTGTAAGTATATAATACCAAAAAAAATGTATAGATTATAACAACAATTATTTAAGATTATTATTAATGATAGCTGGTTTATCTTTAAGCATCATTTTCTTCATATTACCCTTTGTTTTACTTTTATTTACCCTAGGACTTTCATACATTTCTTATTTAAATCATTTCATGCATTATTTATTATTCAAACGATATTATTATTTAAATCACCTATATCATGACACATTATTATTTAAATCACAAACACAAACACACATATTTTATTCATTATCCAAATAACTACATTCATTTTTTTTTTGTATTTATTTTATATGTAAAAAAAAAAGACTTTTAATATTGTAAGGAAATACTACTGATGTATAGTTTTTTTTTATAGTAGTAATTCTATTACATTTAAGATTTCATTATTAATTTAAAAAAAAAGACAATTATTCAAATACCAATTTTATAAATTGCGTGCTTTTTTTTTTGTTTTTGTTGATTATTTGATGTTAATTTTTATCAATGAATTATAAAATATCATTTACATAACGATAACATCACGGAAAAATAATCCCGTATTGCCAAAGCATTATTTAGAAAGTTTAGATTTCGTGAAACGCTAAATTTCCAACCTAACGCTAAAAATTTTTGAAAAAAAACCAAAAATATATATAAAGAAATGGCGTTGTCAGTTTACACAAGTTATTCACCAGTTTGGTGATATTATTTTAATTATATATTCATATATATGATGGTATATTTTTTTTTCACTTGTTCTTTACTAGATATGTGTATTCATTGTCGCAGACTAAAATGAAATGATTAAAATCTCTCACTAAGAAACACACCAAAATTTACTGGTAAGGTTGATCCAATACTCAACCCACTCCATTAAATGTCAATTAGAATTGCACCAGATTCTACTGGGTTGCTTCGTTGTTTCAGGTTACCGTTACTCCAAATCTCTAAACATTCTTAATTTAGGTTCAATCTAGAATGACTTCGGAGTATGTTACACTCCATCAACAACAACCAAATCGGGTCATGGTCTAGAAAGATCACTTGTTTTTGAATAACGATAACTGATAAGAATTTTCCTAGTCTTTTTTATTTTAAACATTTTGTGTAATTAACAATTCAGTTGATATCCCTAATACGTAAACATGTTCTTTGTGTGAAAATTTACTATATAACCAATACTTCGTGTAATCTATCCTGAAATTATCAAAATTTTCCACGAGCATAATATTAGAAAAAAAATTCTATCAAATTAGAGAGTGATATAATATTATGACGTTATTGATGCAGATCTTATTTAGTTAGCGTTGGTGATAGGTTAGTTACTATTTAGACAGTGATCTGCATCAATAACGTAGCTACTTCCGCGGGTTTCATCCTGTCGTAATTAACGATTATAAATACGTATATATATTTTGTAATGTCTTTAAACTAGCAATTATTATTATCAATTTCAAACGGCCTAACGCTAAGATAAAAATCAACTACATACCCACATATGTATTAAAATCAAATACCGTAAATGGCTGTATACAAGACCCAATATGTTATTTTTGTATGTAGTATGTGGCTGAGAGTTCATGTTGTATAAGGTAAAAATTTGAAATGCATACATGCCTTACACTTGCAATATGCAACTTAGGTCTTGAAATGAACTACATTTACTTAAGAAGATCCTGAGATCCGCAGCCGGTATAGTCCAGGAAGATCTTGTATACGACCATTTACGGTAATTTCTATAAATGAGCTTTTCCATGTTAAAGAACACGCTAATTAGCATTAGTAAAAATCTTTATTAACAATCTTTACATTAATTCTTATTATATTGGACACCCCAATGTGTCATGCTAAATTACGCAGATCAAGTATGAAGTGCTTATCGCATTTAAAAAACCATACAAATTTTGTCACTGACTTGTAATTTAGGTAAATATCATGCGATTATCACAGCTTTGCCTGATATTCGGAAAAATCTATATCATTACCTATTATTACTAGGGAAAATGAAGTCCGTAATTTGCAGGCACACACAAATTCTAAAGGTTATCTCATTATAATAAACGTGTAATTTTTTTCTAAAAACATATTTGATTTTCTTAAAATTATGTAGTAATGTCTTGACAAACATGCTTTAAATATAGTTTAATATTATATATCTTTATAGTAATCAGGAAATTTAGTATAAACTAGTGTTAAGCCAATCATTAAATGACGAGAATACAAGTTATTAAATAGAAATCCACTTACACTAACGCGCTAAAATCAAATATGCATAAAATGTTACATCGATATGCAATGGTCGTCCAACGTGCATAGCTTTAGAAATTTAATACGTAGATTACAAAATTTAATACGTAGATTACGTGTAAAATACCTGAAACATCAGAAACCTTTTTAACAATTAATCTAGCTTTAATTACGATGCAGATAGAGGTGGAACCAATTTATTTGAACCAAGATTTACTTACCAATTATTCCGAATTATCCAGTTATCCATAATATGCAATTATTTACCAGTTGTCATTGGCTAATTGAGTTTTTAATTCGGATTTTATGCTTATGCCATAAAGTCTACGATTGAAGTATCTTCACCATAATAATTCATAAGTGCATATCATCTAAAGCTATGGGTCTTTGCCATATCGGGACAATTCGGACAAAAAACCTCATTGGTTCAATAGTTCATTGGATCAACAAAAGCAAAAAAAGATTTACACATCAACATGACGACACAACGGGACAGACCGTTCAAATTTCCGTATAATTGCACATGATTGTCAACCAATCATATTTCGAATTTTAGTAAATCGGCCAATCAGGTTGTGGATTCAGAGAATGTTATAAGGCGAAGCGAAAGCATGAATTTATTAAATTTACTCTTGTTTCATAGAAAGTTAAGCTACCTTTTAAAAGGAGTATTGTAAACCGAATAAAAAATTATTTATCAATTGTATAACCATATCGGAATCGGAATCATCTACGAATTTGACTCCTGTTGACACTGGGTTTGTTTTTGTCCGACTTATCCCGATCGGAAAGTTCCGGAGGGAGATTTTTCAAGGCAAAGATCTATATTCTGTATTCAGAATTGTAACTTTTCAACGACCATTTAGACATAACCTTGTAGTATGAAAATCTATAAAGTAAGAAATATATAATTATATAATACTGTATAGTGATATAATTATATAATACTGTATAGTGCCGACCATGGTATCCATCCATATTAAAATTTCATATAGATAAACCAATAATGCTATTTGTTTATTCTTTATTTGATATATACTTTATTTATAATCAAGTTTTTTGTATATAGATTATTATTTTTTAAAAAATTAATATTAACCAATTTAATGATTGCAAAATTTTGCAAATCATATGTATTTTTTTTAAATAAGTACATAAGAACATACATGTATTTGAAACCTACATCTTTTTTTGCAAACCGCAATCAAATAAAATTTAAAGTTTTCATTTGTTTTTAAAATCCGTTTATGTATACATTTTTATTAACAATTTTAACTCTAAATTTTAATTAAAATTTTAAAAAAGAGTTAAAAAAGTTCATATAAAATTTAATTATGTATAATAAATTAAATTTTCATTTTAACATAACTTTATTTAATTTGTTATAGCAATTTGGTTAGGATTTTTTTTATTAATAGTTTTAATATAGATTTTTTGGATTAATATCTTTCTTATATAATTTGAATAATTAACTAACCAATATTTTTATTTTATTTAATATTTTTATTTTATTTAATATTTTTATTTTATTTAATATTTTTATTTTATTTAATATTTTTATTTTATTTAATAT